CGTCTTCTTCCAGAAGCGAAGTAGCCGAGATGAACTTTAGGAAAAGTCTCGCTGCTTTGTTTGCTGTGATGTGGCCGTTTACATGCGCGTGTTTCACGTGGACTATTATAATATCAAAAGCGCGATCGGCGCGTGGGCGTGGTCACATTAGTGATAATGAAGGCCGACGGCCAAGACTTGACATCGCGTTGGTTTCATACTGATTACTTTGTCACATAATATTTGTTTTCGTCATGACTTCGTTTAAAAGTAGACATGTTAAGCTTTCTATAGATATATCTCTCATGTGTGTGTGTCAAATATTTGCTGAGTTTCAGTTCATTTTAGTGACGCGTTTCAAACAGATATGCGCGGAGAATGAGATGGCTAAAAGCACACCCTGTTTATTTTCTTTATTTTGCAAAAGCACAATGTTTTGTTGATATTGTGAGTGTACACAAATAAAAGTAGACCCTTTACAGATTTAAATGCTGTATTACTCTTATATGTACGGTCAAGTATGAAGGAGCATTTTAGTGCTTTTCGCTGTTATCATTCAAATCTGCAAGTGCCGCCGGTGGCACTATCGACCCCAGGAGGTTAATGACTGTTTTATTATAGTTCACCGTTTTATTAGTTATCTTGTTATGTTTTGGAGGAGATTATCTGTGGTTCAATTTAAACTGTGACGTTTGTCTGAGTTTTAATATCAATCGTCTTAGACAATTGGTTTAAACTAAGTACGCTCGACTAATGGTTGTCGTTATTTAAACTCGTAATCCGACTCATTTAAGTTTTAGGAAATATGTTAGTTTAATTCTTTACTAATGTTTGAAGAGACAGGGGGCACAGGTGAGTAATTGACTGCTAAAATCTCTCAGGGGGCGAAGAAGCTCACACACGTCGCGTTTGCAATGACGTCATATTTGCGTGTGTCCCGGCCTTATTCTAAGATATAGATAATCTATTTCGGTTTATACCTGACTGATTTCAAACTTATTTTTGCAAAACCTGTTTCCCCTAAAGTCTTTCTTTATGTCTTTTATAGATAAATAGTAAAACTCTAAGCTATTGTAGAGTTGCAGACGGCTAAAGTCTTTTTATTTCACCTGTTTCTCAGGCTGTAGTGTGGAGTGGGGGTAGTGCGGTTGGATTGTAGCGAGACCTATTGCATCGGCTGGGGTACGCACCCTGCATTTGTCATGTCAATATTCTGATATCTTTAATTATTTTGTCTATGGAAAAACATTGAATTCTTATTGTTTCTCTATATCTATTCATTTTCCTATTCTGCTTCATTATACAATGGTACTTTAAATCAATAGCAGATATCATTAAATGCTATGCTTTATGCCATTTAAACACTATAAGTATATCAACACTACATTTTTACATATGCTAGCATTTATTATTTTTAATATTGTTTAATATTGTTTAAAGTTCTTAAATATTATTATATAACCTATTAATATGTTTAAAGTTCTTAAATATTATTATATAGTCTATTAATGTTATCTAATGTTAAAATTCAGTAGATTTTAACCTTGTGGTTCGACTATAATTTATGTCGGTTGTTTGTTTGTTGTGCACTAGCATCACACGGCCATCTGTCGTTGATGGGGGGACATTAGAAGGTAATTATATATTGATATAGTAATTAAATAGCAAAATTTTTTTGTTTTGTTTTGTTTTTTCATAACGTTTAATATAAAGAACAAACAATCTATCTTCTGTTTGTCCTAGGTGTTAGCGACCTGATTTCTATGGAAGAATTGACGTTAGAGCAATTTGAATTATTCGGTAAGACTGATCGTCCGTTTATTACTTTTTCTGATATTCATAGATGTTTTTAATTATGACTGATATATTATCTTTTATTTCCAGGGAGAGAGACAGCCGATAACGGGAGTAGAGACGCATACGGCGAGTATCAATATATTTATGTCTTATAGTTTAAAGCTAAAATAAGTTATATCATCTTTATCTCTTTAATTATTTTTACAGAGCTGCCCACGGGCGTGGTGCTAGACAATATTATCGACCTGACTGACGAGAACGAAGAGGAGGACGAACATAAACCCGGACCAAGCAACACCGATACACAGAAGCGTCCGAGAGAGGCTGACGAGCCGTCGGTCGCCCCCGAGAGAAAGAAAAGACTAGTTGTGATCGTAACTCCGATCATAACGGTTGAAGACGCTGTTGACGGTAAGATTACCTGTTAACTAAGCAATATTTTTAACTTACATCGTAGATATGACTATGTTCTAGACGTCCGGCTTTTAATTTCAAATCCTATTGCTCTACAGACGGTGACCGAGAGCATCTTAATAATGATCAACTTAGGGCCGAGACTCCGCTGAACGAATGGGAAACAGCCAGTTGGACCAGCGAACGTAGCGACGATTTACAGCCGCTCGCTTTTCAAGAACCGGTTGAGGAAGATGAAACTGAATCACTGCCAGACTACCGGCAGAACGACGATGTGAATGAAAGATTTGATGCTTTGCGTGAAGAGATGATTATCCGTCAGGAGTCTTTTCATGAAGTGTTGATTAACAGACAGGACGCTTTTTTCAACGACCTTCTCAACAGGCAGGACTCTCTGCATGAAGAGATGATTAACAGGCAGACCGCTTTCTTCAATGAACTTATTAACCGAATGGATGCCCAGGACACGAGGGGTCACGACCAATAAGGTAATTTAAACCAGTAGCATCAAACTTCAGAGAATCGTTTGCACATCATGCGAACATGGGGTGGCTGAAAATGTTACTGTTGATCACGTTTACGCGAGCAATTGACTGTGAGACGTCAGGATGATAAGTAGTCTTTCTAGTCTAAACGATGCTCTACAGCCATGATAGATGACACGATGCGATTGTTTTTCAATGCATTTTCATAATTTTAGTTTTGTAATATATTTATTTCCTTGTTATTTATTTTTTTTTCACCTTGTGTCTGAATTTAGTTTTATTTTCAGATTTTGGTATTTCTGAATTTAGTTTTGTTGAAGATTTTTGTATTTCTGAATTTAGTTTTGTTTCAGATTTTTCCTCGTTCTGATTTTCCACAGAATGTTTTAATCACTCTGTTAATGTGTTTGTTAACATCATTATAATTTTGTATTTTCAAAATGGTCACTTGTGTTGTTTCTAAATACATTTAAAAATGGCTGCTGAGAGTTCGCATAGCCGTCATTCAGACCATTCTCTCTCAGACCTGTTACAGACCGCTATCGAAATGCACGCAGAAACGTCCCATAACTTATGCGACATATTACAACGACAGATATAATGTCACACAGAACGGAGGTACGTTAACCGTTTCAGACCGTACCACTGATCCATCCGACAACACTATGCGTTCGTCAGATGTCCCTACAGGTAATGTCAACGATGCTCCTTCCGTTAATAACGATGCCGAGCGACCGTCGACTTCCCGAGCTGACCCGCCTTCTGACACGGCACCCCCATCAACTAGCTCTACGGCTAATAACTACGATCCTCATCCTTCAGACGTGACAGAACCAACTCATGTGAACATAGACAGAGCGACGATCAGTTATTGTCCGATGACACGGTCGAGATCGAAGTCGACGTGGCCATGAACAGACGAGGAGGTCGGCGTAAACTCACAGACATACCACTTCAACAGGTGATTAAAAGAAAAAAGATGAGTTTATTCTGTCCTGTGAATAGGGGTAATAAATTCTGCTTTTCTATCTGCCTCGCACGTTTTCTCGAACCGCAATTACGCGAGAGCGAATTAGAAAGTCGGGCAACAGTCATTCACAACAACACAGGATTTTCGATCCAAGACAAGATCGGTCTTCGTGATATAGCGAGGTTTGAAAATCTGCTAAACATCAAAATTGACGTTTTTTACAGGACACCCGGCAGAACGTTAGAAACGTTCAAAAATAATGCCGAAATTCATCCTAAAACAGTGTTTCTTTATTTACACGACGAGCATTACTACATGATTCTGAATCTGACGGCCTTCATCGGTGCCGAACATGCGTGTCAATTCTGCTATAAAGGGTACTCAAAAATCCGAAATCACCATTGTAAACACATCTGTAACATTTGTTTCGACCGAGATTGCTTCAAATACCCTAAAAGAACCGTTCACTGTCCCGATTGTCTACGCGATTGTAATTCGAAGCACTGTTACGATATGCACAAGAAGACTCCCCCCGGCAAAGAGAATCGCCCTTGTGACGTTATAAAATACATTTCTACATGATTCTGAATCTGACGGCCTTCATCGGTGCCGAACATGCGTGTCAATTCTGCTATAAAGGGTACTCAAAAATCCGAAATCACCATTGTAAACACATCTGTAACATTTGTTTCGACCGAGATTGCTTCAAATACCCTAAAAGAACCGTTCACTGTCCCGATTGTCTACGCGATTGTAATTCGAAGCACTGTTACGATATGCACAAGAAGACTCCCCCCGGCAAAGAGAATCGCCCTTGTGACGTTATAAAATATCGCAAACTATGTAACAGACGGTACGAAATTATAGGCCCCGTCGATAGTCACAAATGTGCCCCCTTCCGTTGCTGCGATTGCGGGGCAGAACTGCACAATCGAGGGCTACATTTCTGCTACATACAGCCCCAACCGCCCAAGGACCATAGCAAGAAGTATTTTTTTTATGACTTCGAAACTCATTATGAAAATGGAAGACACGTCGCTAATTTTGTTTGCGCGATCACATTTGACGGCGAACGATTTGTGTCCAAAGGCGTCAAATGCGTGGAACAGTTGATTAACCGGTTCAGACACCCCCGATACAAAGGATACTGTTTCATAGCCCATTACGCATCAAGATTCGACTCTTTTCTAATTCTCGAGTATTTTTGCAAAGTGGGTCTTACTCTCGACATCATCATGCAAGGATGTAAATTAATCTTCATGTACGACAAAGCTTTTGCTCAGCGATATATAGACAGTTACAGTTTCATACCGATGGCTCTGTCTAAGATGTCCACCGCTCTAAACCTGACCACAACAGAAAAAGGCTACTTCCCTCATCATTCCAATAGGAGGGAAAATGAGAACTACGTGGGTCCCTACCCCGACAAAACGTTTTACGGGAATGGAAACATGACGGACAAAGTTCGACGAGTGGTATAGCACGGCCTCGGGTAAATTCTTTCGTTTCAGGAGGGAGTTGTACGCGTACGGCGTGAACGACGTCGTCTTATTACGTGAAGCATGCATGAAATACCGAGAAGCGTTCATAGACTGTACCGAACTCGATCCGTTCAACTTTACCACTCTCGCGAGCTGTTGTATGGGAGTCTTCAAAACACATTACCTCGTCAGAGACACGCTGGCTCTGACGCATAATAACATGTACGTAGAACACAGCAAAACTTACTCTAACGTGTCGATCGAATGGCTCGAGTATGTGAAAAAGACCCGAAACGTAGACATTCACCATGCATTAAATCATGGTGAAGTGCAGATCGGCTGTTACTTTTTAGATGGCTACTATGAACAGGACGGGACGAGGTACGGGCTAGAATTCAATGGATGTTTATTCCACGGACACGAATGCCGCTTTGAACCCCATAATACCCACCCCTTGTCAGGCATATCTTTCAGCGTTCTCAGATGCCGGTTTGACGACAAGGTAGAGATTCTGCAAAACGCGTACAGCTTGAAAATAGAGTTCCTGTGGGAGTGTGAATGGAACAAAATGAAACAGACCGATCCCTCGGTGATGGCATTTATAAGTACTTATTCAGTTCCCGAGAGACCGAAGCCTCGAGACACCCTTTTTGGCGGAAGAACTAATGCTTATAAACTCTATCACAAAACGACCCAAGGGGAGAAGATAAGTTACGTAGAATTGACCAGCTTATACCCCTTCTGCCAAGCTAGGAAAAGCTATCCGATCGGCCACCCTCAAATAATTTTTAATGATTTTGAACCGATTTAAAATTATTACGGACTTACCAAGGCAACCGTGTACCCCCCGCGCAAATTACTCAATCCGGTACTGACTTACAGATGCCTAGGAAAGCTCATGTTTCCCTTATGCAGAACCTGCGCTCACGCCAAAAACCAGACATCGAGCTGTAACCACACGGATGAGGAGAGGGCTCTCTCGGGGTGTTGGGTCAGTATCGAACTTTTAAAAGCGATCGATAAGGGCTACGTCGTGGCCAAGGTCGATGAAGTTTGGCATTTCCCGCAAAGGACGGATACGCTGTTTTGCGATTACGTAAAGAAGTTTCTGCGTTTGAAACAGCAAGCGTCTGGCTATCCATCAAACGTGATCACGGATGCCGACAAAGCGTCTTACATCTGCGAATATTATGAAAAAGAGGGAATTAATCTCGAACCCGAAAAGATCAGCCACAACCCCGCTCAGAGGTCTATAAACAAGCTATTGCTCAATAGCTTATGGGGGAGATTCTCTATGAGGGAGGATTTAGCACAAACCATCCTTGTGAAAGATCCTGAAGAATTCACCAGTATCGTTTTTGGTAAAACCGATATCATGAAATACTTCACATTCGTCTCAGACGACGTAGCGCTTGTCCAGCATCGTCCCCCCAAAGGGAATGTTCGTCAGACACGTAACATTAACGTGTTTATAGGCGCCTTTACAACGGCTCACGCCTGCCTGGAGCTGTACGACCTGATGGACAAACTCGGCGACCGAGTATTATACTCGGACACCGACAGCGTTATTTGCGTGTCTAGGGATGGCAACTGGATCCCTCCTCTAGGGGGTCATTTGGGGGAGCTGACAGACGAACTAGGGGGTGACGATTACATCACAGAGTTCTGTTCTAGTGGCCCGAAATCTTATGGCTATCGTACTGCCAAGGGAAAAGTGTGCATGAAGGCTAAGGGTATAACGCTGAACGCTAGAAATTCCCAAGCTATCCGCTTAGATTCCCTGATGGTCTGGTTAACGGCTATGTGACATCTCACGATGACACACAATACATTCTGGCTCGTGCTGAAAACATTGTGAGGGATAAAAAGCATCTCACGCTGCACAACAAGTCAGTCGAGAAAAAGTTCAAAGTGGTGTATAATAAGCGCAGACTTTTACCCGATTTCAACAATCTTCCTTATGGCTACTGATTCGATGATGCACACTGGATACGGCCATAAGAAATATTTTACTCAGGACTGATATGGATCAACGTGAAAAATCCAAACTTTACTCAAACATCCTAACGAGGTTTTTGGCGATAGTTAAACAAGGCGATCGTGAGAGCTCTGTTTTAACGCTCTCGTTACCAAATCCTGATACCGGTCATAAAGACGATCGCGTCGCTGCTACCACCCAAGATAACGAGGGTTCAGAAGATGTCGTAGCTGAAGTTCTGAAGAACGTGCCGTCGAGAAGCGTGAAAAACAGTCGATACATACTAGACGAAATGTCTAAAGCTAAAGGACTCAGCCCTTGGAACAAATCGGGTGAATTAGTGTTTAAAGGTAGTGTCATACCCGGTTCGCACATGCTTGATTTGTTAAAAAATGTTACAGCTCCGCACCAGGTCCGGGATGACAGGAGACCTCTAGGATGGTCGGAGTTTCTACAATCGTTTGCCGAATTAAACATCCCGTTTTCTACCATACCGAATCATCATGTTAGACGTATGATTAGTTCTTTAAAAAGCAAGCCTGGAGTGATCTCTCACACACCTGAGCATGCGCAACCTTCTAAAAAGTCTGTAAAAAAGAGAATTTCACGTACTGCAGCTCTGAGGACGGATGAACCCGTGTTCAAATCACCATCTCTCGATCGAAGACAGTGGTTAGAATTTTAATGATGTATTTTCTTTAAATGTATGTCTCTGTGAAATGATATGTA